CCTAATCACTTTATAATAACAAGAGTGACTTGTATAATACAGCTATTAAATACCAGACTGTTTAAAAAAATTCTCGTAGTGAAATAATGTAAAAGCAGCAAATTAATAAGTGATCTACATACTGTAAAGAAAATTTTGCAGTTTTTTTGCATTTTCGCAGGGTTTTGCAGATTTGCACTTATTTGATTCTCCCGATGTTAGTTTATAAAAAAAAATTTAATTAAAAAAAAAACTATTCTCATAATCAACGCTGAATCGTATCTTAAAAAAGAATAATAGTAGTGTTCCTTGATGTTAAAGACGTAAACCTAAATTTTTATAAGTTTTTTTAACCTTACATACTTCCGAAATTACTGTAATGTACTCTACTTATATATTAAGTACGGTCAACTCCCTTTACAATGTACCTTTTTTATAATGAACGAACTAAAAATTTAAAAATTATATTATTTCTATTGTCTTCAAAGAAATATAGAAAACTTTCAAAGTACAGGAAACACATGGTGGAAGTTTTCGTTGGAAAAGAAATTTTATGAATGCGGCTGGATAATACGCCATCAACCTGGCACACATTCAAGAAATTGTAATTTTACGCGTGTACCACTTTGGTAACTTTTCCCACCGGTGTATTAAAATTCACTAAATACGGCCCTTTCTTTAAAGTGATCTTATATAAACTTATAGCAGATAGTAAATATGATACGTAGAATTAACAAATATATCCACTAAGTATACAATAATAATGCAAAAGGCACTACTTTATAATAAATTAACTCAAGATAGAGGTCGCGGGGATTATTTATGCAAAAAAAATGAATAATAATTGTGATTCTATATAAAGACATGTTTAGTTTTAAAACGTCAGTATATGCAAGCCACTTTCTATACTGATATTATGCTACGAAGTACCGGTAAAATAAAACCCTGACTTTTCAGTTATGAATTTGGATAAGAAACCCAGCCATTATTGGCTATTTTACGCGTCAGAATTTTCTTAACTAGGTATGTTGTGTTAAATTGTGATCTGGTTTAATAAATATCGTATTGCGAAAGAGTGGTCACATTAGATAAAACGTAGATTAGAGATTCGAATATTGATTCAAATAAAGATTATTAAGTGAATCGACGTTATAAATCGAAAAGCAAAAAATAACTACATAATTTACTAAACACGTTGCTTAAATTTATGGTCTCGATTTGAAAATATGGAGCTTTACTGTAAACTCTAACCCCAAATCCTCATACAACCCTAGAAAACTAAGAACATTTTGAAATTTCATATTAAAACGGGTAAGATTTCAGTGTCAGTCGTGATTCATTATTAAGTGTTGTTTTAGTTAACGTTAATTAGTATTTTGGTCATATATATTTGATAAAAAAGATATTCGATGCCTCGGGTTTGATAATGAATTGTTAAAGTACGGATTTAATAATAGAAATAACTTTAATAATTTAAAAAATTAGTTACAGCAATATCTCAACTGATAATATTTGTTTGTAATTTAATAAAAATACATTTTTATTGGTACATAGCATAATGCAAAAGAAAAGACCATCACTTGAAAATTAATCTTTTCTACATATAAAGTAGTTCGCTGAAATTAATGTCAATCCGTATTGGTCGGCAAACTTGCGAGCATTAAAATTGTTTCTCTTTATATCTAACTGTGGATAATCGATATGTGGAACTTGCTGGCGATATAACAAAAAAACGTATCTTTGAAAGTTTAAAATTGTTTTAATAATAATAATAAGCATTTATAAATATATTTTCTAAAAATATACAGTATTATCAACATTGAAACTACGTAATTATCAGACATACCGATGGTCTCCACTTCCTGAGGGAGGAGTTGGTCCTGCGTAACCATCAAGTTCTGTTCCTCCGCTCAAATTTCCATCAGCTATTTTAAGGGATCATAATATTTAATACTGTAGTCTGTAAAATATTTAAGATACTGCAAAATAATTACATGGAATATTTCCAATGACCCAATGACGCCATTCTCTTTTATCTGGTTGACGACGACTCGGTGCATCAGGATCAACCTATGGCCAAAAGCGTTAGTATACAGTAAATACGGTATAATAATGTTTAATAATTTTTTTTTACATAATTAATCAAACGTTACCATCATCAACGTAAATCGAGATTTATCATCGCCTGCTACACCAAGCGCAATATTAACGATCGGAGCTTTATCTGTTTCTGTTAAAGGATAATAATTCAATTAACAAAACTGATACCAACGAATAATCATGATAATAAGCGCTATTTCTTTCATACCTCCCATAGTGAATCTGTTGCCAAGCTCTACTTTCTTCTCACCGTAGGTTATATCAAGTAGTGCCTCGGGCACAAACTCATCCGAGACTTTAACGATCAATAAAAATTTAATAAGTATAAAATTTAATGAATTTTAAGAATTGACAATACTTACCATCGGGAATAATTTCAGCTTGCTTCAAAGATGAAGCAATAGATTCCATTGCAGTAATAAGCATTTTGTTTTAGTAAAGTTGGTTATCGATAGTTCTAGATGAAAGTAAATTTTAGTAATCGAATAACTTTTATACGTTATATCCATCTTTAATTCGATTACGTATTAATTACTTAAGTATCAAAAGCGTGAGAAATATTTCCATGAATGTATTAGGCAGGCGAATCTATTTTAAAAACTGATGGTTTCACTGTGATATTTTTAAGGTATATATTGCCAATCACAGTAATCTGATTTCAAGATTATCTATTTAGTATAGATCGAAAATATAGGCAGTCACATGAACCAGTAACTCAGCCACAACACATGTGCGTATTAGTGATGTAAATTTAATTCAGTAATTTGATTTAAATCTACGTAGAATAATTTACAAAATTATTATACTGTTATACGTAGAAACAAAATATTGCATTAAATTTCGAACTAAATTTGGAAATATCAAATCATAAAATTTACGTAATACGTATAAATTTTAACGTAAATATATGCGATCATTATCCCGTGTAATTGGTATCATTCATCGAATGGTATAAAACCATGTGATTCTGGGTTCGCGTTTATGATATTTACGAACTTATTCGAATCAAGAATATCCACTACTATATCAAATAAACTAGAAATTACTCCATTGGAAGTTTCACAATTTCAAAGGTTATCGATTTTATCGCAATTGATGATCAATAATAAGTTATATAGTGCATAATAATAATATCCAAAAATTGCCGATGTTAATATATAGTTTCTACTTAATATTATACTACATATAATTTATCGTATAACAGTCACACGATTTGTCACGCAGGGGTAAATTTTTTACTATGAAATTTGAGTGATCGACATCCATATGATCGATCCATTTTTCATAGTAAATTGCAA